GTTATATAGTGACAGACTTATAACTGGTCTTGTAGAGCCATTGACCCATGATGCATGGTCAAAGCTTTAATATTTATATATGTGTATGCAATAATTTTCTTAAATAGTCATGTGTACTAATTTTTGTGTCACCTATGCATTATTGTATAATTAAGTATAAAATTTTGATTTTTTTATATTTTATATTATCTATACATATAGTTGAACTTTTATTAAAAAAAAATTATCAAACATTTGATGGTAACTTATTCTATAAAAAACTTAAGAATGAAACAATGTCATACTTAATCATAATAATATTACAAACCATTTAATTTTTAAAATCATTATTTAAATATGTTAATTTGACATGATGATAAAATTACCAATAAATATTAAAAAAATTATTTAATTTGTAAATTATATGCCACTCTCAAGAGGTGCTATCATATGACATTTTCTCTTTGCCCTTCTCACTAAGTGCTAAGACCTGGCAAGCATGCAACAATACGGTGGTTGGCCAATTAAGGGCAATATATAAATACTAGCTTGAGTTCTAACTTCTAAGGTTATATTTTGAGGGTAAAATGGGTAGAGGTGGTTAATTAGGGATACCTCGTAAATTTACCCTAACCCCCCCTCCCCCCCCCAAAAAAAAAAACAACACTAATTTATTTTTATAGACATCTCAAACTCATGAACTAGATAATGTAGGACATTTCATCACACATAACAAACTTATGTCAAGCATGATCTTTTAACATACTTGTGTGTCATAAATCTCTTTGCATATATGGAATTTATTTGTGATTCATTTGCCATTAGAAATTAGTAAACTTTTCATATATACATAATGTACCTCTTTTGAGTAAGACTTAAGACTTGAATTTTCATATACCTCACCTAATTTTTATGCAAAAGAGGCTTACTGTATGGATGGAAAGCTTAAAATTCATATTTTCTAATATATTCTCTCATAACTCATTCAATATTACGAAGTCAATGTGAAACAATCTTAATCATACATAAACGAATCAATAATTATTTTTTTCTCACTCTTTATCGTAATGTGTGTTTTCTCATCTTTTATTATTAGAGTAAACATATTTTTTGGTCCCTGACAATATCTACGAAATCCTTCTTAATCCCTGACAATAAAAAAAGATCAAATTGGTCCCTAAAATTATGAAAAAAGGGCCACATTAGTCCTTATGTCAACTCCTCCGTCACTAACGTGGCCCTTTTTTCATACTGTTAGGGACCAATTTGGTCCTTTTTTATTGTCAGGGACTAAAAATGATTTCGTAGATATTGCCAGGGACCAAAAAGGGTGTTTACTCTTATTATTATTGATTTATTTGTGAATATATGAGATCGTTTTATGTTACGTGATCATTTTTTAAATAAAATATGAAGATATAATAAGTAGATCATAAATACCGTAAGTTTGTGTATGTGTGGTGTGAAGTCCCACACGATTAGTTCATGAAATTAAGATGCTTACAAAATAATCTAGCATTTTTATCATGTGTTTGGACGACCGATTAACTCTCTTTGTATGCCTAGCGCAACTGATCCATAGTGGTAATTTTCTTATATTTTTTCGATATATATTTTTTTAATATTAAGGTCAATTGACCCAAATCCAACTCATCACCCATAGACCATAGTAATACAAAACTGGCTGGTTTAGAGAATACGGCAGAGGTGTTTGGTGGGGGAGTTTTATTTTGTTGTGTGGGAAAATTTATGTGGGATTCAAAAAAATCATGTTTGGTAGAGATTTTTAAAAAAATTTGCCTAAGATTTTAATTTGCATGGGAACATGACATTATGTGTAAATTTTTGTCCAGATTACCACTTGAGAATACTATCCAGATAGTGGTATTTTGATTTAGCTGGGAAATAAAAAATTGAAGAGCAAAAATTTGAACACAAATATTCTTGAAATAAAGTGTCACAATTTGATAGGCAAGGGTTACTTTGATAATTTCAACTCATTTTTCCAGCACTATTTTACCTTCAACCAAACATAGACTCAGAAAATTTAAATCAATTTTTTTGATAATATTTGGCCTACCAAATAATTATTTTTTTTTAACTTTCTTAAAAAATTTACTTTCCCACCATATATCAAATAATTGTGATTCGCTGATACAAATTTCGTTGTCTCTTTCTCTGAAGGTGGTATTAATCAAATTTTGGTGCCAAAGAAAGATTCGTTGGCAGCAGTGTTGAAGGAAGTGATGGCGATGAAAAAGTTCACATGGCTGGAAAATGCTTCCTTCAAGTTGCATTTGAAGCATATTGAGTGACAGTACAAATAGAACAGTAGTATAACTAGTGGCGGAACCTCAAAACAAAACAAAAAATTCAGTGCCAAAAGACCAAGTTAGGTAGAGCTAATTAGTGTCAATTTTGTATTATTTTTTAAAATTCCACCAGTGCCAAGTTTGTATCATAACTTTTTAAAAAAATATATATCATTTTTGAAAATAAACTGATGCTAAGGCACCGACTAATTACCAAGTCAGAGGCGAATCTACGTTTATTAGAAGGGGCAAGTGCCCACCCTTAAAATATGATGGAAAAATATAAAAATATTTTTCTATTAAAATTCAAATTTTCTCAATTTAATTTAGGGGTAAGATATTGTAACAATCAATTAGGGTTACTACCAATATTACTACCAATCAATTTCACCGTTAGATCGATTATGTTGATCCAACTATTATATTTATTTCCATCTATGTATGGTTATGATTCCACATATTTAATACTTTATATTTATTTTCACCTTTGTATGATTATGATTTTCCATATTTAATGCTTTTACATTAAATACAGGGATCATAACCATACAAAGATATAAATAAATATAACTGTTATAATCGATCTAATGATGAAATTGATCGGTAGTAACATTAGTAACTCTAGTTGGTTGTTATGATATCATACCCTTTTAATTTTCCTCCTTCTATTTTATTTTCGTGTGAGTTTTTTTTTCTCTCCTCCACCTTCATTATCCAAACCTAACAACAGAAAACTATATTTCATACCCATAATTTGCATCTACATACTATTCATCTCCTCTCAAACCTCCTCAATTTTTATTATTGGAAGTTGGAACATTTGCTTCTTCCTCCATAGTCGGTCCAGTTGAGTCGCAATCCGTCCAGATCCAGATCTAAACCAGACCAAGCCAGCCGGTAACTGCTCGCAAGTCACGTTTCAGACCAGACCTATATGTACTTGAACTTATATATTAAGTGCACACCCTTCATTAATTTCCTGGATCCGCCACTGCCAAGTGACTCCGCCATTGAATATAACATAAGTGGTTGAGCTATAGGATAAAATATTTTGGGAGTGGATCCTCTCATGTTAAAAAAATATGACATGGTCATATAAAAAATCATAATCATATAAAAATAGATCAATGATAATAAAAGAAAAGAGAGAAAATATTAAAATAAATAGTTATAAAATCATAATCATTAATTTACCTTTATATGGTAACTTCTCCTGCTATCCTCAAATGAAAAAACAAAGTCTTTTTTAAAATAAAATAAAATTGATAGGCCTAATTTTATTGTCTTAGCTGAAAAAAAAAACTATTCTCCATCTAATGTAATAATACAAAACTTAATTATAACAATATTTGTCTTAGGAATTGTTCTATATACAATGAGAAATTGGATTCTATATGTTGGGAATGGTATGGGGGAGCCCAAAACTCATTGCAAGGGATACATCTATGGGCCAAGTGATAAACCACAATAAGTGGGCCGACACCACATTTTAACCCAAAACCTTAAGGCTGTAAGTTTTATGGGTCTTTTGCACTTATATGGTCATCACTTGGTCTAGGTCTAGCCAATGTGGTACTTCTTTACAACTCATACTTGAATACTTCCAACATCTTCCCCTCAAGTATGAGACCCAACATCATGCTCCCCCTTAAGGGCAACTTCTGCGGAAGTCTTTTTTCTTTAAGTATTGGAGTCACACTAGCCTTCTGCGGAGGCCTTGAAACATCACCATCTCTAAATACTCGGCCCAGCCAAACCTTTGGCTCTGATACCACTGTTGAGAATGGTACGGGGGAGGCCAACACCCATTGCAAGGGATACATCCATGGGCCAAGTGATAAACCACAATAAGTGGGCCGACACCACATTTTAACCCAAAACCTTAAGGCTGTAAGTTTTATGGGTCTTTTGCACTTATATGGTCATCACTTGGTCTAGGTCTAGCCAATGTGGTACTTCTTTACAACTCATACTTGAATACTTCCAACACTATATGTACTCAATAAAAATTAAGGAGTTTAAAAAATATGTGCGTAATCTCCTCCTATTTATGGATGGAATTTACTCGAAAGTAATATAATTTGAGCAAGAGACTACATCACTATTATTTGTTATTTGTCTTTTGAATCAGGACTGGCTTGGGCCGTTATCTCCTAAAGCCTGTGAAACCTATTATGTAGGTCCAACAAACTAAATTGTTTTAACAAATCGAACTTACCCTTAAATATCACCATTGATCAATCCCAAAATCAGATTTTAATATCAATGTATTAGGACTTGCGTTTTACAACATCTAATTGGGGAGAAAAGTTAATATGATCCCGGTGTGCACATTTTTTCAAAAATATAAATAAGTAAAATGATGGAGATAAAAATATCATAAAAAATTTCTAATTTGAGAAAATAAAACATCCAATCAAAGTGCACCCAGTCCACATTATCTTTTTTCCTAAAGAGAAAAGTTAATATGATTCCAGTGTAGTGCACCTTTTTCCAAAAATAAAAAAAAATTAGGGGATGTTTATGAACGAAATTAGAAAATCTTTAACATAAACTTAAACATTAAAACTCAATCACGCTTAATTTTACTCTTCAATTCCCGAATCAAATAATTAATAAAATTATACATACATTTATATTAATTTATCTTAAGATAATACAAAAATGCGAAAACGTGAGGGAGGAACTTAAAATATTTGACCCACAAGTCAGTAGACAGAGAGGAGCACAGGTTCGCGTCGTTGGTTTCAGTGAGTCAGATTGGCAGTGAGCATTCGAGCATCGTAACCACTATCCTCATTCCTCACGGATTGGGTTTCAACTTGAAGCCAAGTAACGAACCAACCTCTTCTTACCCTCTTTTCTTTCCCTTCAATTCCTCTCCCCAAAAAAATTAAAAGAAGACGTTAGGGTTTGGGTCCAAAGTAAAGGTCATTTACTAGCGGGAAGAAGAAGGAACAAAGAAAAAAAAAACCCTACCCAGTGCGTGCGATGTGAGAGTGAGAGTGAGAGACGACATATACATATATAAATAAAAATTAGATAGAGATTAAATTAGGGTTTTGATGTTCTGCGAATGCCAAGTTTTGATGTATTATGAATGGAGATTTCCTGTGTCGTTTCGGAACAATTCCTCGTCGCCGTGACCGTCACTGCCCTCTGTTTCTTGTTGGCGCTCTTCTCCCTCCTCCGATCATTCTCGCTCCCTTCTTCCCTCAAGAAATTCAGAAAGCACTGCGATTGCGCCTCTTCCGTTTCAAATTCCGATTCTGCGTCCGCCAGTGCCGTGCCCTACTTGAACGGCGGTGGCGCCGAAATGCTGGAGCCGAGTCCCGTCCCCACTCCGGCGGCGTTGACTGAGCGGCGCACGGGGTCGTCGATGATGGAGGAATTGGTTCCGGAGATAACAACGCATGCTCTCAGTTACTTGGATTATCCGAGTTTGTGTCGCCTTTCAATGACCAATTCTTTGATGCGAAGGGCTGCCAATGATGATAATGCCTGGAAGGCCCTATACCATAAGGTGAATTCAATTCTCATGTTATTTATTTATTTACTTATTTTGAATTGAAAGTTTTATCATGCTAGAAACACTAATTCGTGACTATATTAGGTTTTGCTTTTCGTTTTTTATGTATTTTTACTTCTCTGTTTGTAGTGTAGCTATAATGCTGCTGGAGTTCCACTGATTTTTTTAAATGCTTTGTTTCTTCCGTGGGTGTTGCTTACTGATTTGGCCGTAATTGCATGCGTTCAATTTGTTTACTTTAGTACATTGAAAGAAAAGTTTGAATCGTTTTATGAGTTATCTTTAAATGTAATAAAATCTCAATGACATTTCAAGAATTCGCATGGAAAGTTTTCTTTCACCGGTTGGGATTTGGGTGTTTTTGTAATGCCACCATTGGGCTTAGAAAACAAGAAAAATCGCTTCTGTTTGTAACAATTTAAAACCAATCACTACGAAACCCTGACTTGCAAAAGTAAGGGTGAAGGGATCTTTGTACACAGCTTTACCCTCACATATTTGTGAAGAGACTGTTTCCTGGATTCAAACCCATGACCTCTTGGTCACCAAGAAGTAGCCTTACTACTACTGCAGGCTCGCCCTCTTTTTCTGTTTTGAACAATTGCTGATGGAAAAACATTTGAAGTGTTTTTATTTTTTTTATTTCCTAAGAATGTCAATTTTAGGTGCTTTTCCATCATCAATATATAATGAAAACTGCTATTAAACTATGTCTGAAAGTATCAAGAAACAGGGAGGCATTACCTGTCTTGGCACAACCTTTGATGTGGAAGCTAAGTGGTTTGGCCTATCGGGGCTTCAACTTGCACCCTATCTCCTCCGATGTCCTAATAATTATTGCTCTTCAATTTGTGGGTTTTAGCTGGAGAAAGAAGTGGGTTTGTCTGTTGCATTACTCCTTTATCTGAGTAGGCCCCTTCAAACATCTAAATAGGTCCTGTCTTTTCTTCCTTGACCTATAAGTTTTAAAGTGTAGGAGGAGTAGAATGATGAAATAGTACAGGGGGTGTGTTTATGAAATAGGATAAAGGCATAAATCAAATTGACATGAACCTTTAATATCCTTAATTTGTCCCTTCAATCTGAGAATACGTGTCATTGCTTTCATTGTGTTCTTTAGATGAGTTTCATCATTCTCATTTTGCCCTATGTATCTTCAGTTATAACATAACTTTTTCAAATTCTGTTTTTAGGACTTCACATTGGAACAAGATAGTATTACACCAATTAATGGGTGGAAGGCTTATTATGCTGCAACAAGAGCAATTGTGAATATTAATACAGAATTCTTCAACATTGTAAGAGATAAGTCTACTCCAGCAATGAGTCATTTTTGGCTAAATGCGGACTACGTGAAGTGCATTCATGCCTCAGGAGAACTCTTTTCGGGGTATGACCTTTTATTTCTTAAATAGGTGGTCATTTCTATTCTAAAATTATCCATTTAGCAAAGATAGAATACCTTTTTCATATTTCCGAACATGTTGTTCATGTTGATTTCTTGTTGGAACTTGCATGATATATGCTGTAATATCAAAGTGGCAAAATTTCTTGGATGCTTATAGTTGACTTAGATTGCTGTTTTCACCTTTTTATCGATGATTTAAAGCTGGACTAGTATTGTATGTAAATAAGAAACTAGGATATTGTTTTGTTATACCTCTGTAAAGTTTCACTCCTTACCACAGACATCTTTGGGGATAAGAAAAACATCTTATGATTTGGTTCCCATTAGGGACATCCCTACCCTCCCGGCCTCTTCTTTTTTGCTTTTCCTCCCTTTTTTTATTCTTCTAAGGCAGGGGTGTGTTCCTAGTGCTGGAGACATCTCATCAAGCGTGCTAGCAAGATGGTGGTGCAAAATTCCTATTGCTTTCTTTTTGGCTTGGATGTTTTGACTTAACCCCCTAGTTATATATGCTAGTTTCAGTCCCATAAAACTGGTTTTGAACAACTAGCTTGATACTCCAGAGATACTAGCAGCTTGAACATATGATAGAACATGTATTTTCGTTCTTGGAAAAATATCCTTTTTATTCCATAAAATTCTTTTTGAAGTTCATCCAAGCTTGTGAAATTACATATACATTTTATTCTTTTTTTACTTTAATACAATTTCTGCCATACTGGTGTGAGCAAATGTCATTCAGTAATGCAATCTTCCATGCTACAGGTATAATGCGGTAATGCAGAGTTGGCAACTGATATTCAACTGGGAGCAAGGATTGAACTTTCAGGTTCGGGATGTACGTGCTCGTGTCTTGACGGACATGGCTTGGGTTACCATGAGAACATATGTTGACATGGATACGGGGCCATTCAATGTGTCCAATGTCTTTGAGTTCCATAATGGAAGGTGGTATATGGTTCATCATCACAGTTCTGTGATGAATGGAGAGGTGGAGCAACAGATTGTGCATGGATAAATAGTGAGAGATGATACATTGTTATGTCTGATATTGGTTAGAAAAGGTGGTTTTATTTGCAGAAGCAAGATGCTTGAAATTTTTGTGATTTCTTTGGAAGATCCTTTTTTTGTTTCCAATCTTAGTTTCATTTTCATACTGTATATAAGACAGGAAGTCGCAATGGCGTCAGAAAAGAGTTATAAGTACAGTAATTGGATTTAAGTAAACACAAAAGATGGGTCGAAAGGATTAGCTGTGAATGATAGGTTGGATCAGGTTGGCTGGCATCAAATTTTAGGGCGAGACTTCTGAAAAGCAAGGCTGAGCAGTCGCGGGAGCAAATGCACAAGCATTCTCCATTTTTGTTGTGCATCCTAGTATTGTGCATTTTTTACCATGAGTTGAATTTTGGATCCTTTGCTAACAAAATGATGGTTTTCTTGTAAAGCATGAGTATTAGAGAGTTAGAATTGGATGTCCGATAGGTATTGCTTTTACTTAAACGTACAATACGGCGATGTCAAACACGTGATAACAGATTTTGAATGTAAAAATGACCAGAATAAAATCATGTATAATTTGAGAATCTGCCGTTAAGATTGTTTACGTTAGTCTGAAGCAATAAAATGCAAGGAAAATCAAGATAAAATATTGATGAATGGTTAATTAGTTTGATTGAGTGTTTAATTCTTGGTTTGATGTAAGAGTAGATAATGTTTAATTCAAATACTAGTTGAATTAAATATAATTCTTGACTGGGTTTCATTTTTTAACATTAACATTTTGTTTGCAAGGACTTCCAAAATGTAAATTTTCCTATACCCAACATCAGTAATACTATTCGGAGCCTGCCCAGGTGATATTATTACTGGTGAAAAGTGACTAAAAAATTGTGAACTGGGAAGTAGCTGCCTCGTTAGCAGCCTCACATTCGATTGAACGCTTTGAAAGTTTCAATTAAAAGAGTGGTTCGCGTTATCCATACCTGAGAGAGAGAGAGAGAGAGAGAGAATGACAATAGCTCTTTTTTCAGTTCCGACGCCTCTTCAGGCCCAACCGTACAAGTACAAAAACTCTTTGCCTACTAGTGCCGCTTACCCTTCTTTTTCTAAGTTAAATGTTCCTCTGTGCTCTCCTTCTTCTGCTTCAACTTCTGTTATAGAAGAAGAGGGTCCTCGTCCTTCTCCTTCACCAGATCAACTTCCTGTTCCTGATCAATTAGAATACGCTGCCAAACAGAGGTACCATCATCGTCCCATATGTAATTGAAACTCCACTTACTCTTTTTCAGTTATTCAACTTCCTATAATGGTTACAATACTGTAGTTCTTTCTTGCTCTTTCAGATGTTTCTCATAGAATGATTTGTCTTGTTTTTAGCATCGAAAATAGTGTTCAGTTCTTTTACATTCAACTTAATGAGACTCTGTAGGGTCTCTCTCTAGACAGACAACAACTTTTTCAGATGTCTAATTGCTGACTCTGATGTTCTCTTCTAAACATGTTTTTCACAGCGGTTGTAAGGCATGTGGAAGAGAAGAAATCGAGAAAGGATGCAATGGTGAAGGAAGGGTTCAGGGTGGGATTGCAACCGTACCGGGCTTTGGCTGGTGGCCTATAAAGGCTTACAGGCCATGCCCTGGATTTGTGGCGTCTGGTGGTAGGTATAGGCGACAAGGACAAAGCATGGACGAGGTTGCCTTCGGTCGTGGTGAAACACCTTCTGCAGGAACAGGCAGTGACTCTAAGCCAAGGTACATGTGATATTCCTTCTTTTCATTGATATTCTTACACTCTAGGGGTGGCAATAATGGCCCATATGACATGATACGAATTTGATATAAAAACAAATACATTTAACATGAAAATTACAAATTTAAAAGCGAGTCAAAACTTTCAACATGAACACGACCTGCTTATTTTGCGGGTTAATACGGTACAATACTAATAATCTGTCAATAGTGTGTCGGTTATTATGCGAGTTGATACGAGTAACTTGTCAACCTCAAAGTGTGTCGTTTATTATGCGAGTTAATATGACACGACATGAATAACATGTAAAAAGATTAACGCGTGTCAATTTTGTGTTTTTAGGTTGACACGCGACAAATTTTATTTTCGTGTCAAATTTTGTCAATACAAATACAACACCAATTTGAAAATAGGTTTTTTTGTGTCGTATTCATGTCATATCAGTAGATTGTGTTAAAAATTGACACCCCTGTTATCCTCTAATTTCTAGGTACGTATTATCCATTTCTTTTAAATGGACTACTATAGATCTTACTCTTACAACTCATGATTCATGAAACCTGCAACAAGACTTTTACATGCTTTAAATTTTTTTTTTCTCCGTTCATCCCCGAGCTAAAGACAATATTTACAGTGTCTCTAGTTTTCACCTTTTGGGGTATCAAATAAATATCACTTTTTGATGGTTTAGACCCGCCTTTCCTTTCCTTATCCTTTTGAAAAGAGTATCAACAACCACAACCAAAGCCTTTTCCCACTTGGCGGGGTTGACTACATGAATCAAATGCCACCATTGTGTTCTGCCCAAAACCTATTCTTCAGAGAGGTCATTTAATTATACATCCTTACTCTCAAGTCTTTCTTGGACTACATCTACCTCCCAATAATGGGCTATCCTCTAGATGATAAACTCTTTTGGCTTCTGTAGGTCTTCTTCTATCAAGTCCAAACCATCTTAGGCATGATTCTACTCTCTTTTCCTTAATATTAGATGCTACTCCAACTTTTTTCTCTAATACATTCATCCCCAATCTCATCTTTTTCTTGTATGCCACTCATCCAAAGTAACAGTCTCATCTCTCCAGCCCTTATCTTATGCTCTCGTTGGCCCTTTAATTGCCCAACGTTTAGTACCATAATGCATCGCTGGTCTTATAGTTGTGTGGTAAAAATTTCCCCTTTAGCTTAAGTGCAAATAACACCTGAAGCATTCATTCATTTCATCCACCTAGCATGAATCCTATGATTTACATATTCCTCTATTTCTCCATCACTTTGTATGATAGATCCAAGATACCTAAGCTGGGTGACTTGTGGTATGGCATGATTTCCAATTTTCACCTCCAAGCCAGTGCTAGCGTGCATCTTGCTGAACTTGTGTTCCATATATTCCATTTTACTTTTCCTTAAGCGGAAACCATCTGATTCCAAAGCTTCTCTCCGAAACTCTATTTTATCATTTATTTCCTCTCTCAACTTTCCTATTAAAACTATATCATCTGTAAAAAGCATGCACTGAGGCACTGGCTCCTAGATATGTTAAGTAAGAACGTCCAAAACCAAGGTAAAAAGATAAGGGCTCAAGGTTGATCCTTGTGAGAACAGTATCCGTTGCAGAAAATACAAGAAAGTTTTGATGCAGGCTTGGTCTGTAGTTCGATTATTGAATGCCTTGACTATTGAATTGGGAAATGTCTGGTTGGAACTGGGTCAGGGGATGCTTGTCTTAGTTAAGTAGAAGTTCTTTGTGATATTGTGAATGTATTAGACCTGCAAGCTGTTTTGATTTCAGGGAAAAACACATAATCTAAATTTGTGTCTGTTTTCCACTTCATTAAAACAATAATTTTCTATCTTTGGATAAACTGTTTCTGTTATCAACGCAAGTGTCCTTGCTTTATTTCTATTTTGTGGACCAAGAAAAATTAGTATGCTGCAGAAGAAATTAGAGTATCTGAATTAGCCAAGTTACTGTTCAAACTCCTCGTGCATTAATCTTATAAAGTTAGTCTAGGTGAATTCTGTTTGTCTGAGAATCTGAATTTCTATTATCATGATTTTCTGATCTTTCACGTACCCTCTTTAGCTTCTAATTAGTAGTGCATATCATGGTGCTAAATCTTGCAGTAAAAGAAAGGAAGGTCCGAAGAAAGGTCAGAGTTAATGTTTGAAAGAAATATACTTGTCATTGCTTTGTTGAGGTGACATAAAACCAAGGGAATTAAGGTGGAGGGGGCAAAGAACATGTTGGTGATGTTCTGGTCAGCTACAAATTTTAGCTTAATATTCTATAAGGATTCTGGAAATATGTACGTCTTATAGGGAAATGCGGCGATTTAATGTAATCGTGTAAACCTAAGTGTTTGAATCTCGACTGTTTTTTTTTTTTTTTTTTTTTTTTTTCATTTATCACCAGTTCACTACCATTAGTATTACTTTTATGATACATAATTGGCATTAGAGTGGGGACTACAAAATCACTACCAATATGGAGGAATTAGTAATAATGTATTGGAGGGGCCAAAATAAAATGGTTCAGGGTTGTCAAGAAAACATAAGGAAAGCTCTTTCAAAATCTAGAAGATTTGGGATCATGCAAATTAGCAAAAGGGCCTAATTAAGGGAAATTCTATTTTTTTTTTTTGGGGTGAATAATTAAGGGAAATTCTAATATATAGGGCTATATAATATCACTTGTTGGGATAAAGATACGTACTATTATTTTTAAGTGTGACAATGTATTAAGCTCCAATCAACTGTTATTTTGAAATTGAAGCAAAAAAGATGATTGTTGTATGGTTTGATTCAAATACTTTGTAAATGGTTAATAACTAGTTTGTTTGAGATGGAAATGAACAGAAACGTGTGTTTAGGGGAACCTTTTGTTAAGTGTGTTTTGAGAAGTGTTCGATTGGGGTGAAACGAATCTTAAATAAATCGTTTGATTTGAAGTTAATCCTTAAACCGGATCAAATTAACCCTATAAACAATTATAAATAATACATGCTTCGGGCTTAATGAATTTGATATCTTAAGAAAATGCTTCACGTACTAACAAAAAGAAAATGTATTGTACAAATGTAACACTAAGGTGTATTGGATTGAGATTTTAAAGGATTTTAATGGATTGTTTTTAGTTAAAAAAATTCATTGATATTAAATTAGGATTTAAAATGATTAAAAAAAAAGTCATGTGGTATTCGATTATGATTTTAAAAGATTATTTTAAAATCCATTCAAATCCGGTGATATTCAATTAAGATTTTAAACAAAGAATAAATAATCTTGTGATATTAAAAACTTTGACAATTTTAGTAGATTTTTTATTGGTGTAGATTTTGTGAGACTTTTTAGTGAAAAGTATAAATATGATGTCTTTCTCACAATCTCGTTCTAACTCTTAGGATTTCTTGAGATTTTTTATAGTAGCACTTTTTCTTCCTTTGGCGGGTTGATTCTCTCAAAATCAGGTTTCGCTATAGTAGCTTCATTAAAGCTCAAAAGCATCATATTTTTGAGTAATTTTTATCACAAAATAACCCAAAAATAACAGCACAACAAGATTCTAATATAATTCATCTCAAAAATAGCAGATTTTTTTGTCAATAGATGATTAAAAATTTATTTTTTAAAAACTCCAAAGCAATTTAAAATTTCGATATATCCACTGAACAGGTCTCTTTTTGACAATTCTAAGAGAGGACGTTATGCTAAGAAGAGTGTTTACGTTTTAAAAAAATGTGATGACGTTTCTTCTGGGAAAAAAAAATTCCATGTTCTCAATGGCAATCGTCTGCTGCACCATTTCCATGTGTAAAAAAGTTTGATGGCAAAAAAATATTCCCACTATCATTTTAACTCTTCCCCTTATCAAATATGGCAAAAAAAATTTCTCCATCCCGTTTTGCTGGGAAAAAAATATTTCCCTTCTTACATAATAGCCCCTCAAGGGCGTGTTTGGTGCTTTTTAGAAATAATGAAGGGAAAGTGGGGGTGAGAAATTTTATTCCCACATTTGTTATGAGCTTTTGTTAAAACAATTTCAGGTAAAAATTTTGCCCATCAAATTAATTTCAACTAATCATGACTAAAAAATATACCCATCCCTCGCGTGATTTTTTTTCCCACCAACTCGGATTCGCTTAACAAATTTTAGAGACGAAATTGACCTCACATAATATATCAACGCATTTGTTGAAAATATGTTCAAGAGAACGACGACCAAGTTGAAAGTTATACCTTTCATCTTTAGGAAGGGAATGTGTCTTTTTATTTTATTTATGGGTCTATACATGTTTCTTGTACAGAACAGAAAAACTAAAAAAAAAAAAAAAGTGCATATATTTTATGGTTTAATAGTTCAAAATTAAAAATAAGGGTAATTTTGTTCTTTACTTTAATATTCCTATCGATATTTTACAAATGACCAAACATAGCATTTGTAAAATTAACTCAATTTTTTCGGCAAAATTTTGGCCAACCCAACACCTTTTCGTAATTTACTCGACAAAAAAAATTTCTCGCTATATTTCTAAAACTCTTTTTTTCCCGATAAAAAAATATATATCCTGTATCAAACGCCCCCTAGTTTTATCAAGGTGAAGACACCCTTGGGAAACTAAAAAAATGATTTTATAATAAATTAATAATAATAATAATACAACCGAAATTAACAATTAAGATGTTTAAAAAACTTTCATTTACAGAAAAAAGAAGAAGGAGAAAGATATTGTAACAATCAAGTTGTGCTACTACCAAGTTACTACCAATCAATCTCACCGTTAGATTGATTATGTTGATCCAACGGTTATATTTATTTCCATCTTTGTATGGTCATGATTTTCCAAATTTAATACTTTATATTTATTTTCACATTTGTATGGTTATGTTTTTTCATATTTAATGCTCTCACTTTAAATATAGGGAATCATAACCATACAAAGATGAAAAGAAATATAACCATTAGATCAACATAAGCGATCTAACAGTGAGATTGATTGATAGTAATATGGTAGTAACACAACTTGGATGTTACAATATCCTTTTCCAAAAAAAAAATAGCAAACGTATGTGTTTTGGTCTTGTTACGAATGTTTTAAACATGCTTATTAGAAAACAAAACTATATTTATTAAGAATTAATATATAAATTTTTATATTCTTAATGAATATTTATTTTATTTTTAAATTATTAACAAGTATTTTTGTGACATAACAATTTTTCTCTTTTTTTATATATATGTTTTGAATTTGGAATTAATATTTGTCTTTTTTAAAGGATATAAAGTTACGAGAGAAAGAGATACATAATAAAAATTATTGAAGAGAGAGAATGAAGGTTTTTTTTTTAATTTTAATTTTATATAAAAAATATTACTTTTAATTAAAAAGACCACCCCATAAAAAGATAAGCATTTTCCCTTTTGAATTTTGATCATAAAAGTAGTTTGTTTCTCGTGTTGGAGTTGAAAATCTACAAGAAATCAGTAATTTAGGGTAAGATTGTTATTAAAATTAAGAGGAAGATGTTTTTTTCTTTTAAATGATACAAGAGTTTTATTATTTTAAGTGAGAGAAAGATATAAATTAATATTTTTATTTAAATTTAAATTTAAAAAAATTACTCTCCTATAATTTTCATTGATGATATTTTTTTTTTCTCATTTAGGGAGTGTATTGGATTAAGATTTTAAAAGAGTTTTTTGAAATAAAAAATCTTATAGATTTTAAAAGACTATTCAGAATTGGAGAGATTTCAAATACTTTTTTAAAAGACTTTTTTTACAATCAAGATTTCATAAGATTGGATTTTAAATGATTTTAATAAAATTTATAAGATTTGAAAGGACAATATGAATTTATAAGATTTTAAAAAATCATATGAATTTTTGACAAACATTCAGAATTACAAGAGTCAATAAAAAAGTTAACAAAGAAATGCAAGGATATTAATAAAAAAAAGTAATATGTAATATAATTTTTTCATTTAGTAAAATTCATGATAAATTTTCGTTTGTTATTTTTTGCTGTTGATCTTGTAAACATTGGGGTTTCTAACCATATATCATATGCATGTTTTTATTGCATATTCCAAGAAAATTTTGAAGGTGAATTTTATGGGTTTTATTACATTAAAGTTTAGAAAAAATTTCAAATTATTTTCAATCAATACATTGAAATATTAAATTGTTGTGGGGGTTTTAAAAAATAAGTTTTTAGTGATATATTGACACAAAAATTGTTTGAAATCGTTTCCTATGTAGCGAAGGAATTTCGTTCATGTTTCATATTATGAAAGTTTCAATTTTTATTTAAATCGATCTTGTTTCAATGATATAAAATAAAAATTGGTTTGAGGGTTTTCGTTCCCATGTTGTTTTCCCAATATTTTATATTATTTTTAATACAAAAATCACACATTTTCGTACCAATAAAAATCATGACCAATAACTTGAAAAAATATTTTTAAACTTTCAAAACTCATAAATAGCTTCAAAATATGCTATTTTTTAGATGAATTGATTAAAATCTTGTTGGGTTATGAGTTACTTTGTGATGAAAATCGCTCAAAAATCTGTTGTTTTTTAGCTTTGACGAAGCTCTCATGGAGGAACTTGGTTTTGAGTGGGTCGACCTACCAAAAGAAGAAGAAGACATTGCAAATTGCAATAGAGAAATCTCAAGAAATTCTAGGGGTTAGGGTGAGATTGTGAGAGATACATCTTATTTATATTTCTCACTAAAAAGTCTCACAAAATCTACACTAATAGAAAATTCATTAAAATCATAAGATTTTTTGAATACCAACAGATTTAGAAGGACTCTAAAAATAATCTTTTAAAATCTTAATCGAATACCACATGACTTTTTTTTTTTTGGTAACTGATCCTAATTACCTCTTTACAAGACTTTTCTTCAATTCTTTAAAATTCTAATTGAATACCAAATGATTTTTTTTTCAAAAATAATCCATTAAAATTCTTTGAAATCTCGATCCAATACACCTCCTTAAAATAATATAAATATAAAAAACATCAAACCCTAAAAACAATTAAGCGGCACTCAAGTTATTATTTTTCTTCCACGCTTTCCCCTTATGCATAAAAGTAACCTGGCTTTTTGACCACTGTATCCCTTTATTAATAATTAATTACCAAATTGCCCTTGATTAGAAACTATTTCGAAAAATTAACCCCTCCAAAAAACATAACACCAATCTGCCTCTGTTTGACCGTTGAACATCAAACCTACCCGGGTATCACCCTCCCTACCCGGGTATTTTTTGAAAATTCAACCATACCCGGGTAGAGATGGTGATACTCGGGTATAGTTCTTAAATATGTGAATTTGCTTGAATTATTTACCCGGGTACAGAGGGTGATACCCGGGTAAATTTCGCGAGTAGGGTTTTTATATAACCCAGCAGCCCCCATTTGGAAAACCCACAAAGGGGTACCTGGGTAGAGCTGCTGGAGTTGTGCAATAATGCGATTGCACTCCCAAATCTTGCTGAAATTCTTCCTCTTTGTGATCATCAGTTCGCGCAACCTTGTTTGCTGCCTTCTACCGATAGAAATCCATTGAAGATTTATTCTTTTTCCTTTTTATCCATTGGGTTCCAATTCTGATATGTTTGTCATTTATTGCCCTTTCATTGTTGCGATTTTGTAGTTTGCATGTTAAACATTTGATTATGACCGATTAATTTTTAAAATTATTAACCCTAACCTTTATGTTTCTGATCTCTGATTTTGGCTTTTTTTTCAGTTTCACAGTGTGACGCGATGGCTTCTAGACGCGTTTCAAAGATGCCGGTGGGGATATCGAGAGGAGGACCAAGCGTCGACACGATGGGTCGTCATCCTTTTAGCCCCAGGCTGCTATGCATCAAGCTCCGGACTTGCCGTTCAGATATTTGTTTGAGGATGACTGTGTTGCACATGAGAGGTTTGTGAAGTCATTCATGAGTCGGAAGATTTGCGAGCCGAAATCACTGGATTCAGCCTTCTTCAACTTGGAGCGATTCGACATTGTGCCGCTTCTTGAGGATACACATTTGATTGTGCTTGCGGAGATGCGGTGCCTATACTCGGAGGTTATGGTGAGAGCATTCTACCAGAACCTTAGCTATGTGGATGGCGAGCTGACTTCGTGTGTCTGCGGAATTGATATCATCATGACTGCTCCTATCTCGACAGAGCTACTGGGGTTCGACTTTGATGGTGTCACAGGTGCTAAACTATATGATGGAGACAACCATCATATATTTGGCGATTATGACCGGGAGGCCATTGTTACAGAGACCAGGAGGGAAAATGCTGAGGCCGGACAATTTGCTCATTATCCCGTGAGCAACTTGTCGGTGTCTGCTCGCATTCTTCATTATGTGGTCACACACATTATTTTCCAGCGCCCGCATAATCACTCGAAGGTGCTGGAAGGAGACTTTGTGATCTTGTGGGCCCTCTTTCACCATCAGCCAGTGAACTGAACTGGAGGCATTATATATGTATACTGATGTGGAAGGCTGCCAAGTCAAAGAAGGTTGAATTGCCTTTTGCATTCCTGGTGCAGAAGATTCTGCATATATTTGGTGTGCCTATGGCAACAGAGACCATGAAGACAGCCACATGCTGGAATGCTATATTTGGTGAGCGGCTCCTGAAGCAGTGTGAGATCTTGCAGAGCATGGCGAGTACCTGGTACTGGAAGAGGGCACCAGAACCACCTGAGATCCCACTCCACCGCTATGCTGAGATGGAGGATGCACCTGCAGGTGATGTATTTTGGGTTTAGGGTTTCATTATGGTTACTTTTTTATGGTTCTTAATTATAATATGTGATTTTCATGTCTTATGATGCAGGCCTTGGTGACGATGACGATGATGATGGCGCTGCTGCTGTTGATGACGCATCGACACGTCCCACTCGCATCTGTCAAACACCAGCTCCTTTATCCCTTGAGGGTGGATAGACAGCTCCTGAGGGTGGATGGACACTAGATCATGTCATGGCATACATGTATAACCGTCAGCATGGTTTCTACATTTCATAACAAATCTTGACTCGTCGCTTTTTTCGACTATGGTTGTCTTGCGCCCCTTCATACAATGTATCTTCACAGCATGTTGCATTTCAGGTTTGGAGCCAAATTCTTATTGCACAAATAACGGATCTCCTAACTTCCAACCTCCATCTAAGTCATCATCACCATAGAGGATCTTCAACTCGTCATTAGGGTGCGTCCAATTAATGAATGAATAATGTTGGTTTTCATTCCAAAATGGCTCTACCCCAGTCCCTGCATCTAAAGCTTCATCATTATTGTCTAAATGAATACCACCGCAAATAATAATTGTTTAAAGCAAAAGTCCAAATTTAGTGCCTTACCACTACTGACTGGGTCAACATGAAGTGGTGACATGGCTGGAGTACCCAGGCGTACAGCGCTCGTGTCAGCGTCAAAATTTCCATCCACGTCAGTGTCCGACGAATCACCTTGTGGAATAGCACTTTCAGATTCTCCCTCATCTTCGCTTTCCACATACTCCTCATCTTCATCCTCATCCAATGTTACCTGAGCAGGTGCAGATGATCGTACAATTGTATCTTCTTGACCAGTACAGTGCGCAGTGGTTGTATGCATCGATAACGATGAAGACTGACCAACATCAACTTCAACATATATCTCAATCATTTTTAATACTTTCCATCCAACAAACGCATCTGTGACGAACTCCACATCTTCATCATCATTGATATCATTACCAATGTAGTATATTGTATCCATATCCACTACAGTCTCTAACTTGGCTATCATACGGTGGATGGATTGGATGCCTTCTAATCCCATTTTTTTGGAGAATTCTCTCCTTCAGTTCCTTGCATGTAGTGCCCACTTTGATTTTCATTGTTTTTGTTTTTCCTTCAAATCGGACACCGTTCGGACTTTCAAAATGCCTCCCATTGTAGTAAATAACTATAGGAACCATGTTTGGACTTGAACTCATCTTTCACACGAAATTCTGGGTCTAGGTTTTGGGATTGGATCTTGGTTCGGATTTTTTAGCACAAAATGGGAATGTGGAGGTGTAATGCCTATGTCCTACCAAGATTAAACTTTTTGAGATGATGAGATAAAAAATATGTGTGATGTTGCAGAATAGGAATGTTAAGGGAGAGAGATTTGGGGAAAAAAAAAATTAACTCGCAACAATGGCCGAAATCGATTGATATTGGGGTTTCTGGCCAACATTTACCCGAGTATCACCCTCCGTACCTGGGTAAATAATTCAAGCAAATTCCTAGATTTAAGAACTATACTCGGGTATCACCTTACCTACCCAGGTATGGTTGAATTTTCAAAAAAATACCCAGGTAGGGAGGGTGATACCCGGGTAGGCTTGATGGGTCAACAGTTAAACAAGAATAGATTAGTGTTATATTTTTTGTAGGGATTAATCTTTTGAAATAATTTCTGATTAAGGACAATTTAATAATTAATTATTAAAAAAAGGGTACCGTCGTCAAAAAGACAAAGTAACTCCTATTAAGTACCCCTATTTCCATTCGCTCTGTCTCAAATCTATATTAGATATTCCATATATGTGTATGTTTGGGTGTCAGAGAAGAACTAGGTGAGAGAGTGCAAAAATGGACGATACTGAAACCAATGGAAGAATCGAGGAAACTGTTCGTAGGATTTTGCAAGAATCAGACATGGACGAGATTACCGAGTCCAAGATTCGAAAGCAGGCCTCTAACCAACTTGGCCTCGACCTATCCCAACCCCACTTCAAAGCCTTCGTGAAACAGGTCGTCGAAGCTTTTCTCCAAGAGAAGCAACAAGAGGAAGAAGAAGAGCAACAACAACAAGAGGGAAGTTCCAAGGACAAGGAGTACGATGATGGTGGCGATCTCATCATTTGCAAGGTATGTTTCACTTTTTGGTTATACCACTGATGAAGCAATGGGAAAAGGGTTGCTCGGGAAAATTGATTTTGCTTTTTTTGGATTTCAGCTATCAGAGAAAAGAAGGGTGACGATTCAGGATTTCAGAGGGAAAACATTGGTCTCTATTCGGGAGTTCTATAAAAAAGACGGCAAGGAACTTCCTACTTCCAAAGGTACTTGTATTATGCTTTTCCTTATTTTTATTTTTTTTGAAAATTTATGTTTATTTTCATTTCTTCTGATTCTATATGTAGAGGAAATCAGTTTTAGATAGTGGGCGTCTGAAAGTTCTGATTTTTTTTATTTTATTTTTTTTCGAAATAGGGATAGGTTTTAAGTTTTAATCATATTCTAATCTTTGTCATTAAATTTAAGCTAATTAGCTGAAAGGGGGATAAGAAAAAAGTGCCCCTTTCTGTTATTCAGTGGTTTCTGAATTCATTCTTCTGCAGTGATCAATGTATAGGAGTTTCATGGGACTGTTTATGTTAAGTATGTTGATTTCTTGTTGTATAATGATGTATGCATGCCTTCCATATCCAATGCATTCAAGTTCAAATGCATTAGCCATGGTTATAGCGTATGGAAGCATTTATGTTTCAAATGCCTTCAGTTTCAGTTCAACTTTAGTATTTCTCATGGATGTCTAGTTGGGCACATCAAAATTAAAAAATTTGAAGATAGTTATGATTTAAGTTTAGCTTTTTTAGCATAGCTCTCGTCGTTCTCCATTTGGGATCTAAGAAACAGTAGGACCAAAATGGGTTGGGGTTCCCACTCCCAGCTTTACCTCATTTTGATAATACGACTGAACTATAAGTATTCCTAACATAGATCTTTTCAGTGTCATGAATTGAAACTACCTGTCTTCAATTTAAGTTTGGTGTCAGGTTCCATTGTACTCCACCTATCCATCCCATATTGCCAATTTGACTGGATAGAAGCCTTAGCCTTGCAAATAGCATGACAAAATTCATCCAGTTAAGAACTTCCTTTGTAGCTTGCATGAAAATGTTTATGCATATTTGTGGCTACCTAGTGTTTCATTCCTGTGTAATGGGAGGTCCTACCCCTATCATATAGTATGATTAGTATTCCTCTGCCTTTGATTTTGTCTACTTGATCCTTGCTGGCTGTCATGCTCATGTGTGAATCACTGAACAGGTCTTTTTACTAAGAAACACAGAAGTTTCTATTTTATACAGAAAGGAAAAATCTGTATCTGCGTGCCTGCATGAACGTATGTTTGTTCCTGAAAAGTTTTTCTTTTCTTATGTAATCTAGAACTATAAAAGGAAAGTAAACTTTGTTGTTACTGCAGCAGATAAGTGGTGCTGATAGTAGTAGTTTGTCCCTGAGTACTGTTGAACTGAATGTATTTTTTAATTTTGGTTTCCTTATACAATACATTATGCCGCTCGATAATTGAAGGTTGTTTCCTGATTCTAACTTTCTTTGTTTTACAGGAATAAGTTTGACAGAGGAGCAGTGGTCAGCCTTTAAGAAAAATATGCCTGCCATAGAAAAAGCCATTAAGAAAATGGAGTCACGCAGCATATAAGGATGTGAGGATGTCCATCTGGAGATTAAGTATTCATACCATTACCTAAATTATCGGTCAAACCTCACTTCTCGCAGTGATACTAAGTTGATGTCTCAACTCTCAAGTGACGTGGCTTTGCTCTTTCTTTTTTTTTGAGGGAATATCCTGCATCATGGTGTCCTTTTGATACTATACCATTTTGTTTTGGACTTGAAATCACTGTGAATTCTGTACTGTTTAAGAGTACTGCAACTTGGTGCGTAGAGCTATTGTAGGAAGACTCTGGAGCAAGGCTAGAATGAATGCTAGTAACTTGAAACTGAACATAATAATCTGGTATTTCCTTCAATATCCTTCGGACTCGTTTCTTTTCTCAAGTTAATGTTAGGTTTTGTTAGACACGGGCTTGTTTCCTTTTAGTTTCTGCATAAACATAAAACTAAGAAGTAAAGGATCAATATTTCTTCTCCCGGATGTTAATAACTTGAATACCACAGGTTTATGGGAATTTTCCGGTGGCCTATACCCTGCTTAGTTGGCAGGGTGATTCACCGGTTGCCTGCTAGATTTCTATTTTAGTAGCCCTATCATTTTGCTTACTAAATACCAAGCATATTTCCGATAGCAGTATATTGGAGTATCGAATATATTGACTGCAGAAACTAGCAAGTTTTATATTCCCAATCATTTTCTCGGATATGTTGACGTGAAAGGCTTCATTGGATGTCTCCTAGTTCGTGATGCAAACAAATTACTGATAATCAAGGACAAAGATATCCTATTGTGCCCACAGGAAAAAAAAGCCGTGGGTAGATCGTATCGTTTATCGCCATGTCATCACGATTATTCAGACGTGTCCCATGGAGCACTAATGTCCAGACTCCAGCCAAACCAGTTTTTTTTTTATAGAGTAAATACCTTTTTTAGTTCCTGGCAATATCCACGAAGTCCTTTTCAGTTCCTACCAATAAAAAAAGGACAAATTGGTCTTTGAAATAACAAAAAAGATGCCACGTTTATTCTTCCGTTAACTCCCACCTCACGGCCCAACTAATGGTGCACAGTTGGCACGTTAGTTTGTTGACACGGCTTGGATGTGGGACACCGTGAAATACGAGATGACGACGTTTTGGTCCCTGTCAAAACCACGAAGGCCATTTTAGTCCTTGTCAAAATGCACGAGGACGTTTTTAGTCCCTGACAAAAAGCACGGGGCCCTTATTGGTCTCTAACCACAGAAAAATAGGCACATGACTTCATTGCTTTTCTATGCAGTCCAATTTTGCAAAACAGAAGTGCATTACATCATAAACAAGAGTTCAATCCATTTGTTCATCACAAAGTAAAATACTCCTTCTTGGCATTTTATTTCAATGAAGTTTGTGTTTCTAACTGAAGTTTCGACCTTATTAACGATTATTCATTTTTTTTTTCAATGCTAATTAAGCTTCCCACTTTGTTAAAGGGGATTCTTGGCTCTTGCAAACAGCTTTTACGATCCCTAGAATACTATGAATTGCTTTAATTCTCTTAGTCTGTATAAGACATAACGTTATGCGATTTACGAACAATATCTTAGTAGTGTAGCATTACAATTATACTATTTATTTTTCTATAAAAGATAATTGCATGATTGTTGATATTTAAATACAGAGAAAAATCAGAGAAGAAGCCAGGTAAATGATTGTTGATAATTGCAAAGCATGGCAGTTGACTGGACTGCAGCAGTTGGTAGTTCTCAGCCACATGAAGGCAACTTGAGAGGAAGCAGCCCACCTCCATCAAATCCACAACAGGCAAATGAGCTGTTGAGTAATGAAACAATGAATGCAACAACCAGTGGCACACGAAGCAGATTATTGGCCTTTATGAGCACACCTGGTTTTAGGCCACCAATGCCTGCCTCAAGAAAATGGCATGCTGCTGTATATGACCTGGGAGTAGTGCATGAGCCAACTGAGAAGGGTTTATTATTATGTGACTGACTTTTTTTGAAAATTCTGGCCATTATGTATTTGGAGGCCTTATTATGTCAATGTTTTTTTTGTAAATTCTGACCATATTGTATTAGAGGCCTTTATTTTAATTTCTGGCAGTTGGCTTTATTTTGTAATGCACTACTGTACATCTATATCTTCAAATATAATTATACTCAAATCATGTTCCAGCTATTATGTTTCACAGGGTTGATGAATGTTTAAGTTTACCATTTTTGATGTTTTTTAACTAATATACGTAGTTGTAGTTCTTGTACATCCATGTCTTCTGGTTTAACAAATTGGACTGCATACAAATCTAATTTAATGTCATATTTCTGTTTTGCAAAATTGGATTGCACTCCTGTTTCTGATGTAATGCACTTCTGTTTTGCAAAATTGGACTGCATAGAAAAACAATGAAGTCATGTGCCTATTTATCTCTGGTTAGGGACCAATAAGGGCCCCGTGCTTTTTGTCAGGGACTAAAAACGTACTCGTGCATTTTGACCCAAAACATCGTCGTCTCGTCTTCCACGGTGTATCACATCCAAGCCGCGTCAGCAAACTAACGTGCTAACTGTGCACCGTTAGTTAGGCCGTTAGGTGGGAGTTAACAGAAGGATGAACGTGGCATCTTTTTTTTGTTATTTCAGAGACCAATTTGTTCCTTTTTTATTGCTAGGGACTGAAAAGGACTTCGTGGATATTGACAGGAACTAAAAATAGTATTTACTTTTTTTTTTAAATAGAAAGAAATGAATAAATAAGAAGTATAAAGCCTTTCTTTTGTCAGGGAAAGGATTGAAAAGGGATGCAGGTGTTTTATGGAGAATCTAACCTTTTTGTTTTTTAAACGAGCCAGTATGGTATGTTTAAAATAGTTTTCTAGACATCTATAATGACTGCTTTATAGAGCGGTGCATGGATGAGGATGACTATTTCATGTTTATTCACTAATATTGTTGTCAATTTTTTTTGTGATACAAGACTTAAAAATCATTAAATATGCTTAACGTCAGATTTAGAGCTCCTCAAATTAGTGACAGAACTCTCTTAGCCCAAAGTCATTCCTAGTGTTTCCTAGTCTCATGACCCATTCGTGTGGTAAGTAAGAAGCAGAAACAGAAATCTAGAAATACTATATTAACACTGAAAAGTGCTTAATAATCCTTACATCCATAGCATATCATTGATATTTGGACTGGTTGTCCAAATATATTCACAAGAGACCCTAAGATATACCTATAAAGTTTCCAGACAATATTTGATGGAGTCATGTTTGTGAACCTGGTGGTTAGGGAAAACCCAAGATACTAATGAAGTGCCTTTCCTTAACAAGAACCCAAATCCAATCCTGACCCTGCAGCTGCATTGCTTTTAGTAATTTTTCCACTGTTAACAGGTGCCCAGAATGTATTGAAGAAGAGTGTTGGCTTCCATCCCATTTTCCAAGTGCTCATGGTTCGGCTCCTTGTAGGGCTAGTAGTAGTAGAGCATGCAGTTGCAGCCATCCTCATCTTCTCAATCAGTGCTTCAGTATTCACCTGCTCTGACAAAATCTCCTCTAGTTGTCTTGTCTCAATCACCAACTTCACTCTCCACACACCATTCTTTGCTGATGGCAGCACTTCAAGAGCTGACCCATTTGACAAATTCTTGACATAATCAGATGCTGCAACACTCACTGAGTTGCTTGGTCTCTGATCATTCTCAGTCTCTGATCTTTGAAGTAGCCCTTTACCTTGAACTTGTTCTAAAACTCCATTAACTTCAGTGCATGTAGCATTTTGGTCCACCACCTGCACCTCCTTTAGGGGAAGAAGATAATAGAAAAGACCATAGCTTAAGCTCTCATGTTCTGGCAAAGGTGATGAGGCATGACCCTGGCGAAAAATACCATAACCAGGGTAACGTTGGAGAACTTGGGCAACTGTTATAGGACCTTTGAATTGTAAGATAGCACCACTGTCACTCAGAACCCGGATAGAGTGGTGACATTCACCAGTGGTGCCTTTGATAGAGCAATTCCCCATTTGTTAGATTTTGGTGATGGTTCAATGTTTTCTTTCCCCCAAATACAGCTTCACTCCAAGTTTATATTGTAAGTTTGAAATCTCTTATGCTTAGGAAAAACTAGTCCTTATCATAGTGTCATGGCACGTTACTGTACTTGGACTTGTTTGTTTTTATTCATATATTTTAGCTTAGCGGCGCCCATGTGAAATTGGACCGTTGGGGAATTGCTTTGACAAATATTGGATTTGTGATATGACGAATCCAAACGGAACACAACAGAATTATGGGTAGATTCTCCAATTTAATATTAGGAAACAAACAATTCTGAGGCATGCCTATTTCAAATATCCGCGCCAGAGACTCTGCATCCACCTGTTTTTTTTTTTGGTGGAATTTTTTGAATGCATTTGATTTGCTTTAGAAGTCACGGATTTGGAATAAATATAGAATCTGGTGCTTGAAGATATTACTTGTATTTTTTTAATTTTCAAGTTTTTTTTCCCTATACTAATTGGTTTGTGAAAAAGTGAATTTGTTAGCAAATTAACAATGAAGGATAAACTTATTATCAAGTTAATAATTTCCGATATGTATCAATCCAGAATTAGTAAATTCCACCCTATACTCCAAAAATATAAAAGGAAGCCAAGGAAAATAATTACCATAGGTAACGTTTTTTGTACTCCACTTGTATTTTGCATAACATTTTATTTATACGTTTTATATATGGTTAGTTCTTATGCAACACTTATTGAAGTGATGAAAACAACTGTGAAAAACTATCATTTTTGTCATCCATTAATCCACTATGTTATTAATCAAAATCACCAATCATGACTTTTCACTTTTTTTATTTTTGTGTGTGTTGGGTGTCTGTGTGTTTTTTTTTTTTTTTTTTTTTTGGGGGGGGGGGGGGGGGGGGGTTGTTGAGAAGAAAAAGAAGATGGTTTGATAAAGGATTAAATACTTACACTAACTTCACACTCAAAACTTAAAAAACTGGGTTAATTGAATTAAGTTCATTCGTTTTAATTTTTAGTTTAAACTAAACTTTTTTCCCATATTCCTGTCTTGACTTGGAGCACCTAATGGATAAGGGAGCTGGGGAATTATTCTGAAATCTGAACCATTGTTTGATGTAAGGAGTAGGGTCCTTAAGAAAGAAGATGCCTTTACGGATCTTCTTTTTGTTTATTTGGCCCGTGATACTTACGTGCCCAATATGCGGAATTTTTCAAGCATGTCAAAGGCATCGGGATCATAACACCAAGTTTGAAAGGTTCAAGCATTAACCCATCACCTAAAGGATAGCAAGGTTCAGATTAAATATGTCTTTTTTATAAAGATTTAGACTAGGCTCCTAAAGTGTTAAATACGAACATGACAACACTTCAAAACATACATTATGCCCTGGACAATTTTTTGTGTTTGTCTCACCATTTTTCTTTACGTGTCTTTTTAAATGATATAGAAATGTGTCTTTTTAAATGAAAAAAGATATACATAATATAAATTATAAAAAGAGAAAGAGAGTATTTTTTAATTTAAATTTTAAATTAAAAATATTAATTTTAAATAAAATGACCATCCTTTAAAATAACAAATATTTTAAAACCCCCCCCCCAAGATGTTGCGATAATTCTTTTCAATTATACGAAAATAAAAAGAGAATACAAATCCTTTATGATATCCCAGAAATAGTGTTCGAGCTACTAAGTCATATGATTTCATTGCTTTGGGAACCCAAGGCATAAAATCAGATCATGTTTGTTTGATTACGAGTAAGGATGTGAAGAGTCAGAATTAGCCAATATTTGGTAGGTTAATGCAGAATATTTTAAATCTGCTGGCTAAATTATAGGCATGATCTAGTTTATTAACCTACTATAATTTTAATTATTATAAATTAAACATGAATTACTTGAAAAATTAGAAAACAGCAATAACTAGGAGCAACTCTTGTGAAAACTACATTTATTTATGCAAATTTGACTATTCAACCTAACACTTATGATCCTAAGTCAGAAATGAACATTCGTAGCCAAGTGAATCAGTGATAGGAGAGCCTACAAATCTTCAATTATAATCCACACTAAATAGGCCGACCTATAAGCCTTAAACTTTTTAAAATAGGCTCTGCTCTGTTTTATTACTTCGCTAAAGTCAATTCTTATCTGATGTAAGAGATCTTGTATTACGGATGTATGGTATATTCCTCTAAAAAGAAAAAAAAGAACTCAAAGAAAAATAGCAAAAAATATTTGAATTGAAATGAGGTAAAAAAAAAAGATGTACGGAGTTAAATGCTACGGAAAAAAAAAATAAAAAATCCCTGATGTAGGCTAGCCTGTAGCCTTTGATTTTTTTTTTGTTTTTATTTTTGCCCTGATTCGTTTTACTAATTAAGCAAGGTCAGGTCTTACTTGCTATAGACTGGTGGTATAATTTGGTCATCTGATTTATTTACACCACTAATTAAAGAGGAATTTTTTTTTTATATTATAGGAGTTTTTTTTTCTACTAATGAGACATTGAATTATGTGCAATAACTTTTTGTATTTTTTATTTTTAGTGGATGGTGAGACCTATCATATCTTATGTTTATAATAAGAGAAAAAATTCTCCTATAACATGATAAAAAAAGGGGACCTTAACTAAAACTTTTTTTTTTTTATTTAGCACAAATCAACTATCATGAGACCAGGGAGCCAAAAATAAAATAATGATAGGGGGTTCCAACTGCGTCCGGCGTGTTTGTATCTATGGGCTTTGGGCTGTGCTGCGAGCATGCAATTTCGATACCTCTTTGCAGATTAAGAAGTATAGAATAGATTTAGAGTGAAAAACATTTTCATGGGCCCAAAAATTAATGTTTGTCCAATGACAAAAGCGTGAAAAACAAAGAGGATCACAAACGTAAGCACTATCTGATATTTGTCATTATTATAAACAAGCTTTTGGCGCTAAACCACAACCATAAGGGTCACTAGCAGAGGCAGAGTGCCATTTTCAAGAATGAAACAGTAGGACCAAACTAAATTTCATTCATTGGAGGTGTCAGTATCTTGCAGATCCACGTAAATAACATGAATGCCAGACGTTATCGTAAGGCCTGCATCTTTCCTCTACCTCACTCTCCATAACATTTATCGAATATAAACTAAAGCAGGTGGATAATCCCTCGACCAAAGCCACACAAATATGATGATACACCCGCACCACGCGTGTATCAATCTTTCTATTTGCCATTAGAATTACCATTATAGTTAGATTAGCTTGCTCTTATCCTACCGTATATGTAGAACTACATAGTAAACAAATGTAAAATCACCGTTGTTGTTTTATTCGAACTACTTTTGCATAAACGTGACTAGTTTCTGTATAGTTTCGATATAAAATTTATAGACACGAAAGTCTTGTTGTAAAACTTTATATATAATAGTAAATATAGCGAAATTTTTAAAAGAAATATGAAAAAACTATTTCTTTTATGTGCAACGGGATCAATATATCCTGAATAAATAATATGTAGAGTAAATATGTGTTGGTTCCTCAACAAAAAAAAAAAAAAATCTATTTTAATCCTTTAGAAAAATAAAGTTGACCGGTGATCACTTTGAAATTTCAATTTTTTAAAATTGTGGTCATGTGAAATTTAAAGACTCATTTTAGTCTTTAAAAAAAGACTAATGTAGGTGCTTTTTTTCTAAGGGATTAAAATGGATTCTATATTTTTTGTTCACTACCAAAAAATATTTACTCCAATATTTATATATAACTTTTGTTCAATACAAAGGACCTAATTCCCCCGATACTTTTCCTACTAAGCAAATCAAGATTAATTGTCATTAGGAAAGCAAATCTAATAAGTAAGTTGTGCCTCAGCAGCACAGACAAGACTGACGCAAGTACCACAGTGAATTAGAGAGGATGGTACCATATTTACAAACCAATTATGGGATGATACAAAGCTATACCCAATACCATTAATTTACCGTTAGCTCGCAAATAAGTACCCCAGGATCAATGCTAGTATCATGGGAACCTCACATGCATTCAACCGATTAACAGTTATAACTGCAAAAGAATTGACACCAACATTCATAAAGGCTGTCACTCAAAGCCCTAAAATCGGTCTCCACATTCTTATAATTACATAGGCTCATCATTGCATAGGTAATACTCATATAATCCATACATTATTAATTCATTGACTCACTTCAGCATTGAGGTACCTTATTAATTTACGTATTCCAATTTAAGAGGGTCTTGCACCTATTCCAACTTGATCTTTGAAGGACTTGATCAATCAATATGCTACAACCCAAAAAGAGGAAAACATTTTCTATACCTACTTTTTTACTAAAAAGAAAAAAAAATGGAAGAAAATAACTATAAAAATAAAAGTTGTGTAATTATATTATTTTTTTCATATTTGATAAAAACAATATACTCCCATAACACTGAAAATATTTTCCAAAAGGAAGACTCTCCTACCCCAAAGTTACCAACTTAGATATTATGATTTGGACATGATAAACCGTACGTGACCTAGCTAAGAAAATCTTGTGGCTATCAATCTTTGTGTCTATCAACTTTTATTACATTATTCTCACACACAATTTTATTTTTAGTTGATAAAATAAAACATATATATACATTCCAAAACACATTTTTTTTTTCTTTCATATTAGTCTTAAACAAGGTGATGTAAAAGAAAAAGTGTAAAGAAGTACTGATGAGGAAATATAAATTTGCCATACTCAGCAAGGGTAATTAAATTTCCCCGTAGCTGGTCCTATATGTATTTTGGTTTGTATTGTACCCTATCCCGTGAGTCACTGAGCATTGGGCAAAGCAACAAAAACGAAATGGGGTGTGCTTCCTCCAAGGGTATAGAGTCAAGCCCAGCCATGTACCACCCAGCTCCTACGAGCTTCGCGGTGTTTGACATCAACGCCATCGAGGAGCCATGGCTCAAGCACCTCAACAACACTACCCCACAGCTTCCCCAAGACAAACCCACCCTCACCCACGTGCCAGCCCCTATTCTCCACAAGCTCAACATGCTCGAAGCCACCGATGCTCCTCAATCCTGGGACGAGGTTAGCAAGACTCTCGAAGACCTCAAACCACTAGTTAAACAACCCTCCACTCCACCACAACCACAACCACCGCAACAACCTCAACCTCAACCTCCACAAAAGAGTGTGTCCTTCCACACACTCGAAGAGTTAGACGCCAAGTTAACCTCCAAGCCAGAGTTTAAAAAACCTACCGAAAGTACTAAAATTAACAGAAACAACAAAAACGAGTCCCAACCACCGCAACCGCAACCGTTAGAAGATAACGGAGGAGTGAGAATCAAACCGTTGAAGGATAACATCTTCATAGTGAGAGACAGGTTGGAGAAACAAAAGGAAGAGAAGGAATCGAGTTACGAAAGGTTGAGGAAGGATCCATTGAGCCAATACCCGGAGAAGTGCCCGCCCGGGGGGAACGACGCGGTGGTTATATATACGACGTCGTTAGGTGGCGTGAGGAAGACGTTTGATGATTGCAACAGAGCGAGGGACATGTTGGAGGGACACAGGGTTGTGTTCGACGAGCGTGACGTGTCGCTTCACGGCGAGTTTCTTAGGGAGGTGAAGGATTTGGTCGGGGAAGGGGTGGCGCTGCCGAGGGTGTTTGTTAAGGGAAGGTATGTGGGTGGGTTAGATGAGTTGGTTGAGCTAAACGAGTCGGGTCGACTCGGGAGGATATTGAATGCGACGCGTGTGGAGAGAGGGATTGGAAGACAAGCATGTGGAGGGTGTGGTGGGGCTAGGTTTGTTCCTTGTTTCGAATGTGGTGGGAGTTGCAAGCTTGTGGTCTCTGCTGTTGACAAAGAAAGGTGTCCCAAGTGTAATGAGAACGGGTTAGTTCACTGCCCTTCTTGTATTTGAGTTAATTTCACTATTTGTACTTCCTTATCCATCATCATATATACTCTTTTATTCATAAGTTTCTACACTATATGATATGTAATACTAATGGATATTTGTTATCCGTTTGAGGTCATGAAACTGTACCTTATTAGGATTGTGAATTATCCATTCCTGTCCTTAAATGTATATTATCATATCATATTTGGAATGGTCACTCGATCCGAATTGGTTGTGCTTATAATGTCAGAATGTTATTTGACAAGTGTTTTTTTATACCGATCTTAATTTATTTTTTTTGAAGCACTTTTTATCTCTCATTAAAAATATATTTGATAGAAATCAAATTCTATCTCCTCAACTATTGAGTATGTGTTGCCAATGAGTGATGAAGCTTGGTCTTTTAGCTATGCCATCTCTTGGTCACTTCTTTTAATAGTTTTGTTATTTCCTTCCTCGATTATAACCCCAAACGTCAAAGTTTTTTTTTTTTTTTTTTGGAAAAAAAAACATTACATGAAGCTATACTTGGCTTTTTTACCCTTATAACCCTTTATTATTAATTAATTACCGATTTGACCTTGATTATAAACTATTTCAAAAATTTAACCCCCTCAAAAAACATAACACCAATCTGCCCCTGTTTGACCGTTGACCACCAAGCCTACCCGGGTACACCCCTCTGTACCCGGGTATTTTTTGAAAATTTTTGTCTACCCGGGTAGGGAGGCGTGTACCCGGGTATTGTTCTTCGTACCTGAAAAATTGCTTGAATTATTTACCCGGGTAGAGAGGGGTGTACCCGGGTAAATCTTCAACCTCCCGGTATGATTACTCTTTGGATCTCCCATGCACTCTTCTTCTCCAAGCTTTGAATATAGAGGCACCGACTATCACGTGCTCTGCCTCTGCAACTTTTTTGGGTCTGTAAAGCACACAAATATTTTTCAATGATTATTTCAGAAAGAGAATTCTCAGTTAACAGTATAAATCCACAACCACAAACCTTGTCCCATGCATGTCTTCCCTGAACGTGATAATTCGTCATTTACCAGTAAAATGAAAAGCTGCATGCTCACACTAAATTTCTGTACCATGAACCCTGTCTTTATTTTCTTTCCGTCTCACTCTCCCCAATAGACCCGGTACCACATTTATATATAGGAGCGCGATTTTGACGTACATAAAAGTAGACCCTATCATAATCGATACGAACAGGGACCGCTTTGATGAGCAGTAAAGTGTTGATGTATGGAAATTCCAAATCCATTCTCAAAGCTAAAAGCTCTTCAAATTGGTTAGGCATGCTTAACTTGATAATACTGATCTATCTCATTAGCTGTAAAAAAGAGAGAGAAAATACCAAATGGGTGGTCGAAGATTTACCCGGGTACACCCCTCTCTACCCGGGTAAATAATTCAAGCAATTTTTCAGGTACGAAGAACAATACCCGGGTACACGCCTCCCTACCCGGGTAGACAAAAATTTTCAAAAAATACCCGGGTACAGAGGGGTGTACCCGGGTAGGCTTGGTGGTCAACGGTCAAACAGGGGCAGATTGGTGTTATGTTTTCTGAGGGGGTTAAATTTTTGAAATAGTTTATAATCAAGGTCAAATCGGTAATTAATTAATAATAAAGGGTTATAAGGGTCAAAAAGCCAGCTATACTTACATTTCCCCCCTTGTCCAATACCTTCCTTGGATGTGGAAATAAATGATTGGAATAATATTTGTACTTATGTAAAGTACTAGCTACGTTTCTGATTTGTGAGCCCCGTTAGGTTAGTATTATTTATTTTACACTAATTTTTGGTTGTCCTAGATAGGTAGGGAGGTTGGAAATGGTTCTTTTGAAAAGTTTCTAAAAAAACAGTAAATTATAAAAGGGCCCAACCGGGTTCGAACCGGTGACCTCTTGATCTGCAGTCAAATGCTCTACCACTGAGCTATGGACCCAAGCTGTTGCTTCACTTACTTCAATTTTTGTTGTTATATAATATATTAAGGTCAAATAATGAAAAAAATATATTCAGGGGAATATTCCTTTGATCCTTTCTAAACTCTATTTGAGATTATTTTTATATCCACTTATTAGCACTCTTTGGCAGTTAGGCCTTAGCACGTAATCAAGACATGTACAATCTTCCTTTTATCTTAACAGCCATATGGCAATTGCTGATTAATAAGCTGAACTCTTAATTATAAATTGCTTCAAACCTAATCTAACGGGGGAAAAAAGAAAGAAAATCCATAGGGAGATACAAGATAAAGCCAGTTCAGGCAGGTATCGGACGAGAATAAACTATCACATAAAATGCAACACTTGTAAGCGAGGTAAATGATAGGTATCAATTATTGTTGAGTTCTCTAATTTTTCTCTAACTGGATGGAACTTTATCAATTTTTTAAAACCATTTTCTCGTCTTTTTTAATTAAATAATAAATAAATGGGATTTAAATTGATCTTGACATTTTCTAAATGTAGCTTTCTTATTAATTAAGCACTCTTACTTCTAATTTTAATTTTTGATTTTGAAATATTTACCTACCATATTTTCTTATACTCAAATTTTATATCTTATTTTCTCTACTTTTCAGAACTTTTATACACTAATTCATCTCATCCCATGTCTTCTTCAAGAAGCTTTCTTCCTTTCTTTTTTGTATTTCTCTTTTTATTTGAAGAGGTCTTATTCATTTTTATTTTTATTTTCGTTCCTTCTATCCCATGTCATGTCATCTTTATATTTCAATACGTCTTTGAAACGCAATCAGCTTAAACATGAACTTACTTTATAACAATATTCATCTAAAATGCTGTAAGCCTCTGCCACCGCCACTGGCCTAGAGAACCCAAAGTAACAGCTGTGGCCAGTTGGTCTTGCGACATGCCAACTGCAAAATTGACGAATTAATTAAATAAAATATAAGCAAAAGAAAAGAAATGTGTATTTGACTATACTGTAGTCAATTAGTGGAAAGAATTTCGAGACGGTCCATTATTACGCTCATTGACAAGTTCTTGCCTACCTGTAGAACTTCAGGACTCTGTATATATATACGCTTGTAAAAAAAAAAGTTATTTAATTAATTTTCGTTATTCATTGAAACGAAAGAATCGGCTGTTCTATTATTTATGGATCGACGTACCTTTTAAGTTTATCAACATCTATGATCAATTACCTAATAGACAACCTAGTATATATTTTTGAATATTTGTTTTGCCCTTTGGTTATGAATTTGGATTACATACCCTGATACCCGTGAGTCCCTAAGTTATTCTGTATACGCCAAAGCTAATCATCACCTAAGTTTCTTATTTCTTTTTTCATGAAATAGATTACCTAATTCTCGTTAAAAAGTCCTTTTTGTTACAACAATTCTCCTCTAACATTTAAGACGACTTGATGTAACGGCAATTTCTTCTAGATGTAAAAGATCACTATATTTGGAACACAAGGTACAAAATCTTCATTGACGGAGAAAGTAACCTAAGGGCCTGTTTGATTGTGTTTTGATTTTTTTGTTCTTAAAACTGTTTTGTAGAATAATTATGAAACAGTTGTTTTCTATGTTTTTTTTGTTTTAAAAGTTAAAATCTAAAACAGAAAACAAAAACAACTCAGACATGTTTTTTAAATTTGATTCTAAAAAAAAAAAAAAAACAGTTACAGTTTTTAAAACTTTTTTTTACAAAACAAGTCTTACCAAACGAGTTTTTTTATTCTGAAAACTAAAAAAGTGTTTTTAAAAACAGTAATCAAACAGAGCCTAAGGACCTGTTTGATAACTGTTTTGTAAAATACTTTTTTGTTTTTAAAAACAAAAAATAAAAAAACTTGTTTGGTAACGGTTGTTATGAAAAATAGTTCTAAAAACATCATCTCTTCTTTACTTTTTAAAACATGAATTAGAGAACATCCATTAGGTGTTTTGTTTTTGTTTTTTAATTCTCTGTTTCCAAAATAAGAAAAACACAGAGAACTATTTTCATTAATGGCAAAACGGTAAATAAGCTAATATTAGAAATCCCAGCAAAACTGTAAATCAACGCAAGCATATTTGGTGATAACATGTAAAAGCAGATTAGAGTAGATGAAAAGCTAAATGAAACTCAGGGTTGTGAAGATTGGTGAAATAATAAGAGCGAAACTTGGTGAAAACTTGTTCGGTGGGATCTGCATCTATGCTTGTGTTGCTGCCATTCTCAGTTTAAGTTCAAAAGCTGATAAAAGTTCAGGGTGCTTCCTCTCAAACTAGCCATTTTCTCAACATAAAAAAAATACAAAATCGAAATCTCAGAATTGAAAGGAATGGATGTTGCTTATCTTTTAAATCCAGAATTTTTTATTTTTTTTCCCTATGAACCCTCTTCCACCTCCATCGATAGTTTGTCCCAAAATCTTAAAAAAAAAATCATCTTGGCTCCTAAGGTTTTTACATATAATTAAAGAAATTATTAAAGTAAATTAGAAAAACAAAAGTTAACAATCAAATGAGTTTTTGTATTTTTTTGTTTTAAAAACATGTTTATAAAATAAATTTACCGAACAGATTTTTTTGTTTTTTAACTTTTAAAATTCATTTCAAAGCAAATTTATCAAACAGATTTTTTTATTCTTTTATTCTGAAAATCAATTCTTAAAAACTATTTTACAAAACAGTTTTAAGAACAAAAAAATCAAAACACAATCAAACAGAGCCTAATTATCTGGTTGTCAATTTTGGAGCTCGAGCATCACTCCTAGTTTGTGCAATTGTTGATTTTAAGTTTACGAAAACACATCGAATGAAAATACCAAACAGGGCTTAGTAACTCCTCCACTAGCTAGCAGCCAACTATTGAGCCATACACGAATTATTAATATTTTGAGTTGAGATCTCCAAATGTTGAAAGCATACTAGGGTAGCACAGATATATTAATAACCCTGTAATGAAGCATCAAAACCGAATTTCCTCTTTGAAAGGAGAACATCTAAATCATGGCTTCACACTCTTCCACTAGTTAGTCCCTTCCCAACACAACACTAGCTATACGAAGCTGCAGCATTCCGGCCTTACATTCGTCCTCAATTTGTAGTTTTTTCACAAGAATCCATAGGCAAAAACAGTTCGTTCTTATTGTATTCTCTTAATTTGATGATAGTATATCACAGAAACAAGAAAAATGGACAACCATGCATAGCAGCCTCTATACAAAAGCACTAGAACACATATTACAGGCTGAATATCCAAGCGTCCACCACTATATTCATTTTTGTTTTATATCTTCGGACTTTTTGTTAGTCCATAACTTTAAAACCAACCCATATCACTAATTATCTATTGTCTTTGTAAAATGCTGTTCTTGTATTCTCTGTTATTTCTATCCTTTTATGCCGGTATAGCCTTGAAAGTGTCGTTGAAAGTATCTTGTTCAGCAAAAATATCCAGAAGAGACAGTGCCTGTAAACCAAAAAGGGAAGAGCTTTTAGTGAACTAGGTTCAAAAAACTGAACTATTAATTTCTTCTAAAAAGGGATCAATATTCAGCATGTTAAAAGATTAAATAAATACCTCTGGCACGTTCAGCTCAAGACGGAACTTGGGACCATCATAGTGATGAAGGATTGGCCTAAAGGAATCTTCCTCCAGTGGTTCACAAGTTTTCCTAGTAATCACTTGTACCTGTTGTAATCATCATTTATGAAGAGTCCTAAGCTTCCACAAACTAGCAAATCAAATAGATTCAAAAACATATAGTTGGATTGGAGATTATACCTGAGCAGGGAAACGAGATTCACCAGGGCACTTCTTGTCCTCCCAAGCCGTTGGATCAATATTTGTTCCTCCAAAACTTGCAGCCTGAACAAACCCCACCACATATTATTACCCTTTTAATGTAAAATGCACTCAAAAAACATGAATCTGCTAAAGGTTAATGTGATGGCCAAATCCATAAATCAATTCGAAATCATTTCCACAACATGCAGTCTCATTAAATCAACATAAATTAATTAAGTGAGAAAGAAGATATACACACACCTCAAAGATCCCATGGAGTTGGTGAGTGGAGTAATTGTAAAGGAAAAGGGGCAACCCCGGAGTTATGGCCCGAACAGAATCTCTGTATCGTGGAGGCAGACCTAAAACCACAAGGATTCACCGAGAAAACGAATTTAGCAGGCAAATCAAGCAGAGACCAACATATGAAGTTAGGAAAAAAACAAACAAAAGAAAAGGGAGGGGATGAAATTCATTGTATAAGCATATGCTTGTTATCTAACATAGGGATAAAATGGGGACTTTAAGATAATTGATACTGAAAGTTACTGTTAATTCAACACCTCAAAGGGATTCAATTTACAGTGAAGAACAGATTATCCCTTTTAGGACTAAGGCAATCAAACCCCACAATATATAATAAAATTGTTATACTGCAAAATCTCATGCTCCATAAATATAATTATAAAGGAGCAAACTAACCATTAATGTAAAATCAAAGAAAAATAAATAGAGAACCAGAGAACATACAAAATCTAAAGTGACAAAAAACAAAGTATTTAATAGATATAGTAACAATTGCATAATTGAGAAACAAGGAAAGGAACATACCAAAGAGCTGTCTTTTGAGATTCTCTGCCATGGTATCATTGTTACAAACGAAGATATAGCCCCCAATTGTTTCATTCCTTGGTAGAGACTCCGATGGTGGCAGCGTTTTAAATCTCTTGTCGGCAGCCGCCTTACCATCCTTGTTGTTATCGTTGTTGTTGTTGTCCCCATGCTTCTTGTTTGGGTTGGTGTTCTTCTTAGAAGTTTTGTTGGGTAAGTACTGAAGAAGTTCATCTGCACCCTTGGCACCGAACTTGTTTCCCTTGAGATTGATATTCATGTTAGTGTTGTTAAGATTTGCAAAAGAAGGGTTGGAATAAATTCCCTTGTTGAAGCCTCCATTGAGACCTGCTCCTCCACCATCAAGAAAGTTGTGAGGCATGGCGAAAAGAGATCCATTTGTATTGTTCATCTGTTTCCACCCATCATTGTAATCAGAAGCAGGTGCTTTTGACTTGAGATTTCCACCTAGAGAGTTGATTTCACCACCCACTTTGATATCAAAATTCCTCCTTTCATCAGGCCTCTTGGGCATGTAACTATTGCTCCAAATCGAATCATTCATAGAAAGGTTCGCCAGATTAGATGTCTGCACACGGAGCTGATCACTGAATTGCCAAAAAGATTGTTGATTGTTCTCCATCTCAGATTCTCTTAGATGATTGATACACTGATATGGTAAAATAACTAGTTACACACCTTCAAAGCTAAATACAACTCTAGCTATGACTATGTATGTACATATATAATAAATGTTGCCTTGCCAAACCGACAAGAAGAAGTGGTGGGTGTAGGGGGAGGCAGAGCAGTATTATATTGAAAAGAAGGATGACAAGTGTTAAATATATAAGATGGATATTGTTTTTTATTTTTGGCCAAATAAAAAATAAAATAGGAAAAATTAGATGAAAGGAAACTTCGTATAAAGTTAGTGGGGTTATAAATTGGGTTGCGTGTTTAATTGTCAAATGTTGAAATGAAATTTGTTTTTGGTGTTGTCATTCTTTTTCATTTAATTTTGATTAGGTGGAGGGTGGTGATTAGTGAGACATGAAGGAGTGTTGATGCTGATGCTAAAACGCGTACATGTGATGAGGTGGAGGAGAGAGCCACATAGTGGATGGGGGCAGTTGGGTTTGATTTTGTTTGTATACAACATTCTAGAAGGTGTCAGAGGTTTCTCACCGAGTTCATGTTACTTTAGTTTGAGTTCACGCCAAGCGTTGTTTTACCACTTTATAAGTAAAAGGGTTAATATTTTCTCAATTCACACAATACAAGATTTTTCTTTTATATATTTAGAGCTTTGTATTTTTCATTTAACACGAAGTTAGAACATTTTTTACGCATACATAATTTAAATGGGTTTAATCATAAGAAAAAAAATAAAAAAAAATATTGCACGCAAAACGATCTAGAGATTAACGTAAGAAAATAATTCTCCTATTAAAAGAGAAAGTGTTTTCTCATATATTTATTAAAATTCTCATTTTATATATTTTTTCTAAATTTGGTGAGTCCTATGTTATATTTATGTATTAAAAAATTATTCTTATATAACATAAATTCGTTTTTCCTGCCGTTATTGCATACAAGTTATCTGCAATAAGTTCAATACGACATCGTTTTGGGACGGAAATCATGATATTTTATAATTTTAATTTATTTCAAGATTATAATAGTCTTTATATTTAATTTTTTTAAGATTTTAATACAAAATTGATATCATTTTAAAAAAAAATACAAATAACTTATTTGCAGTAACTGCAAAAATATTTTTTTCTGTAAGTCTTAACTAAAAAGTATAAAATCAATTTAAAATACTACAACATTCAACAAGTTTTGTAAATTCACACAAAAATATGTTATCGAAGATAATATTATAATATCCTTGAAAAGTTAAAATATCTAAATAGATAAATGAAAAATATAAAACAATTAAATATTTAAAAATAAATGATACATATAAGTTACTTTTTGTTTATTGCTATCTTCTTCTTCTTTTATAAAGAGGATTGAACTTTCTTAGTTGCGAAGATATGAAAGTGCAGATGCCTAGGCGCAGGTAACACTGTGGATCCTGTGAGTGTGAATGTGTGTGTGAACACACAGAAGACTTTGGATGTAGTCCGTGACCAACGGGCACGTCGGTTTATGACACGTTCAATGGACCTTTATTAACGCCTTCGTTTGGTGGTGGTGGTGTCCTTTTCTATTATTTAATGGAATCATACATTTCATTAAATATTAGAATTGTTGTCCGGTTAAAATTCGATCATCGTAAAATTAATTTTAAATGAGTAAGATTTCCAGAAAAGTAAAGAATTTTAAACGTTTTATTCAATAGAATTTATCACGGATGCTAGGGTCATCAAATTTTTTAAAAATACATGTATGTTTTCATTTTAAAAAATTAAATTTACCATATAAATAAAATCACATCTTATAAATTCTATTTTAAATATAATTTTCAAATACAGATCAATTTTATTAATATTAATTCTATCAAAATATTGAGGGAAAAAAAACTTCATCTTTCTTCCCCTTCCCCAATTACATGCTAATCATGCTGAAAATGAAATCAGTTGCATTTTTCTTTCACCGGCTAAATCCGCACTTTCCATAAAGTATATGTTTTTTATATAAATAAAGCGAAATCATTTTCTCATGTTGTGAGGTATCGAATTCTATACTTGTGAAACTGGGCCGGACCAGCCTACAGGGGTCTATGACTCGGCCTACGTCAGGCCAGACCTAGTATATTTTGTAAAATAGACCGAACTTGGGCCTTGAAAAAGCTTGTTTACTAAAAAGGCCGTAGGCCCACTTTCACAAGGCCTGGCCTATAAGCCTACATGTCGGCCTATATTGTACTTTTTATTTTAAATAAAATAAAATTGAATAAGTATGCCTTGAAGAAAAAATAAAAGATATAAATTTAATCAATTGTAATTATTTATAACTTAATTATATTCAATTATATTTTTATAGAAATCTAACTTTATTTTTTATATAGGAGGACCAACATCTCAACATGTTAAATTGTGTATATGAATATATTAAAAGATTCTTGAGAAAAATTATACTTACTACAAACATCATGATGTGTTGTTGGATTCATGTAATTATTTTAATTTATATAGTATGGATTTGTTTGTTGAATCCGATGAAATATTTGTTATTTAATTTGAGCATTTTGCTTTTGAAAACGACTTAAATGCATATTGTATAAGTTTTGTTGTGATTCATGATTTTGTTTGAACGTTGAAATTATGATTTTTGGTTTAGCAACAAAATTTGAGTATTTTGTAAAGTTGATTCATGATTTTGTTTGAAAGTTAAAAATTAACAGGCTAACGGGTTAGGCCAGGCTATTTGTTTTTTTATAAACGGGCCAAGTCAGGCTAACAGTTAGACTCGTAATAGGCTTGGGTTAGGCCAAATTGAAAATTTTTGGCGTAGGCTTGGGTTTTTCGGGGCAAAGCTTGGCCCAGCCCAGCCCACTTTCACCCCTATGTACTATCTTCTTTTTAATTTTTATTTTTTTAACAAGTGGTAGGACTTACCACTTGTTGTGTCTATAACAAGAGAAATGTTATCTCATATGATATGAGAAAAGAGAAATCCATAAATAAAACTTTTGAATAAAAGGAAATTGCAATACTCCAAAACCAATGCATATGAGTAGTATCACAAGTAGAGCCGACAAAACGGGCTCGGCTCGGCGGGCCAACCCGCCAAACGGGGCGGGGCGGGGCGGGCTCATTTTTTGGCAGGTTGATGGCAGGCATAGGCGGACCGAGGCGGATCAGTGTAAAATAGGCTCGGGCTGGCGGGCCAACCCGCCCAACGGGGCGGGACGGGCTGAGTTTTTCAGCCCGCTTTCAAAGGCGGGGCGGACTGACTCATTTTTTGACGAGTTGATGACGGGGCGGGGGCGGGCCGCCCACTTTGCCACCTCTAATCACAAGTATGAAAGATGGCATATAATGACACGTACAGTAATTAGTAATAAGGTTTTATTAGTCTCATTTAACATAAAATAGTTATTTTATGTTGTAGAGAGAAAATAGGTGGGTCTCACCATTACAAGAAAAAAAAGTGAGATACGAAAATTGAAGTGAGAGAAAATGAGAGATGATATCTCATATAAAATGTGAGTAATATTTCCCGTAATAATAATACAGTATACTTTAAATAATTTTTTTTCTGAGTTTTATTATTCACCACTGCCTTCGGGCTTCGACCCTGGGCATGTAGATCCAGCCAACCACATTTTAAGTAGGCACAACAATTCCATTGTGAATTGAGTTGGGCGCAATTACTCATATTGTCATGGGGCCCATGAATTGAGAGTATGAGAGCCCAAAACCAATACAACTTGAAATTTCCACTTTATGGGCGTGAGAGTGATTATAGGATAGTTGAATCTTTCGGGTATTTCTTATGCCACTTGACCCAAAGAAAAAGAACAATTTTTGCATTAGCCATGGCACACTTTCGCAATTTTTGCTTTTTACTTACACGAGTAACGACCGGCTCGAGCCTGAAGGCTTCATGGATTAAACCTTTCTACATTCTCTAATCAATTGTCATGAAATTCAAAACAAGATTCGTTGGAAAAACCACCATACTAATAACATTTGGTAAAAGTTTTGCCTAATCAAAGCACATTTTGAAATGTATTTCCATAATAATGCTGTCAAACTCGGATCTGTTAGTATGAGATCAGTCTTGCATACTCCATAGAAGGTACACCTTTCACTCCCACATTCTTCGTAGACGGGATACGGTGCACGGCCTTTGGACAAGACCATGTGCAGAAGTCCTGCATGCTGCAGGTGTGGTACACGTTTGCTTAACCCACCGGCAATCCCTCCCCTTCAATAAATTTTTGGTATTACTGTTGCATTCCATCAACGAGAACATTACACATCAGAGCAAAGCGAAAAAATTTGACAAAAAAAAAAAAAGAATTTTAACCGACGTGTAATATTTTCATTGATGGGATGCACTGAATCTTTGATGCAGCAGTAGTACCAAAGATTTATTCCCTCTCCTCCCCATTCTGAATAAATTTTAAATATATCTGTTGCACTTAGATTTAATGTATCTCACTAATGAAAGTATTACACATCAGAGAAGAGAGAAAAAATTTTGTAGAGAAGAGAAAATTTTGGCTAACATTTAATATTTTCATTAATGAGATACATTGAATCTTTTGTGCCTACCAAATATTTATTCCCCCATTCCCTAATTCATCTTCTCATTTTTTTACTCTCTTTTTAAAGTTTTCATCCTCTCTCTATCCGGTTTTTCTCTGCCCTCTCTTTACATTTGAGTCCAAAGGCCTTCTCTCTCTGCCACTTGGGTTGTGACCATTACAAGAAGGTATTCTATCTTTGCTTATTTATTCTTATAAATTATTTGATATGTTATTTATAAAATCATAGGATAGAAGTCTAATTAGTGATTTTAATTATAATTATAATTATCCAATGCCAAGAGTCCACACCGCTCAAGTCCAACACACAGCAGATCACAATCTGATTAGGACCAGCAAGCATATCAACACTCATAGCTCATAAGCATAAACATAAAGACTACGTTTTCTTCTTACGATTTATGTCTTAAGGCTTCACACAAAGCCATAAGCCCTTAATCACTTGATTCTGACTTAGTTTGATTAAAACAGAAGTTCAACTTCATCACTCTAGGGTCCACAAACCCCCAATAGCCTACTGTATGAACAGTGCAGCTACTGTTCTTCGAAATTCCAGAATATCCGGATATATGTCGGGGGCATATCCGGAT